GATGCTAAAACTGACATTTATTTAAATCAGATTAAACGATGTACTGGACAGTTGAAATAAATTTAACCATATTGAGTGGGTCCTTCATAAATACAAAAGAGTAAGTTAATTACATAATACAAAATTTATCTTCATATATACATACTGGATGAAAAAGTGAATCCATGATCTTTTTGGCTAAAATGCAACTAAGTAAATTGGAGGAAAATAAATTCTTCTCTAAGAATAATGGATATAAGAAAAAGAGTAACTGACGTGACAAAAACATCATAAAAGAGAGTTAGGCTCGTTTGTTTCATTAAAATGATTTTTTTTAATGTTATATAGTACATTTTTATTTTTAAAAAATTAATAATTCAAATAATAAATTGGTTAGTTATTTTTAAAAATGTTACGTTAAGTATTTTATTCTTTTAGTATAATTTTTTTACTATCAAAATTTAAAAATCACTTATTTCAAATAATTTTTTTCATAAAAAAATATTTTTAAGATATTTTTTTTTTGAATTTTAACAGTTTTAACCTTTAATAATTATATTTTTATTACTCGATGTCAAAATTGTTAAAATGTGATGTAATTCAAATTCAAGTTAGTTTGCATTTCATTTGAATTTGCCTTTGTATTTCAGTTTCATTTAATGTGCATTTGAGTTTGAGTTATTGTAGAAAATCCAAAGTTAGTTAGATATTGTAACATGATTCTAAATTTGAGATTTAGATAAAGTTAGTTACATCTACTTTCTCTTTGAAATTATTTTTAATCTTCTTCAATTCTTCTACAACAATGGAGGTTTAGTGTTAAACTTTAATAATTGGCATTTAGAGCTCTAATTTTGATTCACAGGAAACACGAGTGTAATAAGGTGCGCAATTGATTTCGTTCCTGAAATTTGTGTTGAATTGAAGTTTGAAATCGAAGAGAATCACATATCTTGAATTCAAGTTTGGGAAACACGAGTGTTGATGAGAACTGAGTGATTTGCACAAGAACGAAGATGAACGGTGAAAACAGTAGCTTTAATACAAAGCTTCCAATATCCGACAGAATGAATTTGAATTAGTGGTCCATTCAGATACGTGTGTTGTTTGGTGCTTAAGATCTTATAGATCTCGTCAATGACGGTTACACGCCAATTGCAGAAAATGCAACAGAAGCGCTAAAAAAATACGCAACATGAAACGAGGAATAAGGATCAGAAGGCATTGTTCTATATCCATCAATGTGTGAATATAAAGGTGTTTGAGAAGATTCCTGATTCGACGACGGTGAAGGCGACGTGAGATACACTTCTGCGGTGCTATGGTGGTGACACATCAGTGAAGAAAGTAAAGTTGCAGTCCCTACACAAGCAAAATGAGAATCTCAACATGAAGAACAATAAGAAGGTGTCTGGTTACATCACTAGAGTGATTGTGATTACTGTAATACCCCAAATTTTGCCCCGAGATTATTAGGTTCATTTCGCACGTCATCTCATTCCGCATTGCATTTAACCAGTCACTAACAAGTTTGTGTAGTTGGTTGATTTTTGCAGGAAAATATCATGTAACGTGTCGTTTAGTCCATGAAGGGTAAAACGGTCATTTGTTTGCAACTGGTTGTCCGTTTACGAATTTTGAGCTGTAGTCAGGAAATTTTAGTCGTTGGATTGTTGATGTGAGTTGGGGCCGAGGTTAATCGGATAAGTGCGTTCATTTGAATGGTCGGGAGGTTTAATCGGGAGTTACGTCGGAGATCGGATTAGTCAGATAAGTTGGAATAATTAGGAATTAATAAAAATATGTAATTTCATTTCGTTTTATCTCAATTTTAATCAATTGCATGGCATTTTATTTTCATTTTTATTATAAAAACATTTCTATTTCATCTCTTAATTTTTTATTTTCATTCCACTTTATATACAATTTATTTCATGATTTTTATTTTTTTCACTTCATTTTCTTTTTTATATATTGTTCTCATTCATTTTAAATAATTTATTAAACTTTGTGCTTATTTCATTAATTTTATTTATTGGTTCCATTTTTATTTTTTTATTTTTTTTTAAGATAGTTTTCCATTTCATTTTTATGATAAGGTTTTTTATAATAATATTACTTCATAAATTTAAGCTGAATAATGTGTATTATATAAACTTTAATGTTCTCTTTACAAAAATATATAAAGAAAATACAAAAAATAATAAAACAAAAAATTCTAAAAAATAAGAATTACATTTGTCCTAAATT